TGCATTTAAGCTGGGAGAATGTCTATGACTACAGGCCTTATAAAGCAAACACATCTCATGTTAGGAGACCTAGGACGAGGCAGAGCAAAGTATAACAAAGGTCAGATGAGGAGGAGGAAAATGCCTTCAGGCTTTTGGAGCTGCAAAGGAGCTGACTCAGATTATCACTACATCTATGAAGAGCACAGGTAACAAAAGTTTGAGCCAATGGACATGAAATAGCCTATCGTCTGCAATCATTCTGTAAACCATGTATACTATACTGCTGGAGAAAACAGTGACTTTCTAAAGTTGGTCAGGAACTTCTTTACAGCCTTAGATCCACCTTAAGACCAATGTCATTACGTAGAGTATTTGGAGGACGGTGGTGGGGACATGGGGGACAGAGGCCAGCTGTCACAGAGGATGGACCAGTCCTCCTCCTCCCCCACTGGGATATGGATGGTCAGTGGCACACTTCTCTCAGGGGCACTTTGAATCCAAGCAAGTCTGGCATCAAAACCGAAGACACGGGGTCACAGGGCAGCCCTGAAATCTCAAGTTATATAACCTAGGGAGCCTGGGATGATTGAAAACGTGGGGAAGTCACTCAGCGGAATCCTCCTCTCAGAGTCAGCCTCTATGCCACTCAACTCCATTGCACACGTATGCCGTGGCTCATTGTCACCCCACACTCATGACCTTTATCTTACTGCTTTCTGTGGGTAGGATTCAACCTCAGGCCACCGCTGTTAGGTCAACTCTAATACAGCTATCTAGGAAACAACAGCCCATAAAACAGTGCTCTTGACACCTCGATCTGTTCAACATGTGCACTCACATTGAAACACAAATTTCCTTTTCAGATTTACAAGTCTTTCCAAAATAAATGGTTACTAACATACTACCATACTCTCTCTCTCTCTCTATATATATATATATATATGTATATATATATATATATCACACACACACACATATATATATATATATATATACACACACACACACACGCATACACATATACTACTTTAATCATAAGGATATCGAAGAAAGAACATTTGTGGAGTTATAATTAAATCTGTAAGTAATAATATGACAATACCATTTATAGACATTACCAAAAATAAAGTAACCCAATGTAGAGGAAGCTCTTAAGAGATGGTGATGTCCAATATGATTTAGGGTGAATGAAAAGCCAAGAGCTGCCCAGTGAGAGAAACAAGCCAACTTAAAAATGAAATGCAACAAAAGTAATTTTTAGATAGTTGGCAAAAAATATTCTACAATGCTGACAATTTACTCACTAAGTATTCCATAATGCCTTTTGCCCTATACTTTTGAATGGATTAGGAACAAGTGGGAGAAGATTCAGAGAAGAATATCAGTACAGTGCTACATTTTTGCATTGTGAAGTTTTACATTTTTCACTCAAAGGAACGTATTCAGATCTGTTTACTGTTCACAGAATAGTGGGGTGACTTCTTAAAGCCAATAATAAAATAAAGTCTGCGAAATTATTTCTCCTCGATGATGTTCATTACACACAATAATGAGTCGTTTGATACAGATTGTGAAATTTGGGGAAAGAGATGGGTTTGTGAGAGGTCACAGGGATACGCCAGTACTGAGAGTGGTGCTCAGGGCTTGGTCCCTGTCACTGGTGACCTTCAGAAGAGACCAGGCTGTATATCAGCATGGTGTCGGCAACTGGCAAGCAGAGGCTCCAAGATTCCATGACACCCCCCACCTTCTAAACTGCCACCTCCCGGCAGTTATCGGGCACCCTGAACCCTGCCTCCCTCAGTCCTATATCAGCATGGTGTCGGCAACTGGCAGGCAGAGGCTCCAAGATTCCATGACACCCCCCACCTTCTAAACTGCCACCTCCCGGCAGTTACCTGCACCCTGAACCCTGCCTGCCTCATTCCAGTTGGGTCTGAGCTACAGGCAGGCCCTCGGCTCTGAGCTCTGACTCTTGAACCCAGTCTTTGTGACAAACGGCTTTCAAGCGCTGTGGGTGTTACTAAATTCTCCACAAACTGTAAGTTAACGTTTATACTCATGGTCAACACTCATTCCTGGTGAAACCTGTTTGATTCCCCTTGGGTGTTTTTTTGTTTTGTTTTTGAAAGGTTTTTTCTATAGGGCGTGTGTGTTTGCCAGACCAACAGAGACAGAGAGACAGAAAGCGAGAAATCACCCCCCAGGGGGATGGCCACGCCGCAATCCCTTCTCCTCTGTTCTCCTCTCGAGATCTTGGGCACGCACGCATGCACACACACACACACACCCGGCGTGAGTTTTTTTTTTTTTTTTTTTTTTTTTATCATCATAATCTTCTTTATATTTCATTGGATTACATATAACTTTACAGTGTATTACATTGCTTTTTCAAAAGAGAATGCCATGCAGGTCAGTCAATAGAGAGACATTAATCTCCCCACTTCAACATTCGATATCTTTTCTATGTTTTCCCAAATCAAACAGTCAATTGCTATTTCTCATTTTGCTTGTAAAAATACTTTGCCCATCATGAAATACTTCTCAGACCAACCCAGTTGAGAGTACTATACATGTCATCATCAACAGTTAATAAGCCATATCTGTTTCTCCCTCCCGTCCTGCCTCTCTATTGTTCACTTGCTATCTTTCTCTATCCTCTTCTCTTCACTGCCCCCATTCCACACTGTCCTATTCTCATTAAGTACCTTCACTGCTTTTATGTCCTCCAATTTTTTGCTCTCTATCATAGAATGCGGATAGTTGGTATATATTGAGTGG